CAAAATTAGTTTATATGGGCAAAATCCAGGAAGTAGTAGGTATAAAAAGGTAAATTTTAAATGTATATATGTATATATATATATGACATAAAGTACATATCTCAGTACTTTTCTAGAGTCTGAAATAATTTTTTTAGACTGTAGTATAGGTACATGTTTTACACAGTAGCATCAGATCCGTTAAAAGAATGAACTTAAAAGATTAGGACTCTCAATGGACAATACTGAATTTCACTTGAGCCCTAAACTCCCAGAAAACAGTGAGGGTTAAAGGAATCCCCCCACCCTTTTATGTTCAGAAAATGGCTTACTGCAAACCATCCCTCCCCATAATGACTTAGGTAAGACTCTGGAATGCCCCCCTTGTTTACGTATGACAATGCCAGACACACACCCTCAAAATTCCCTTTCTTTGCATCATAAATTGTTAGTTGAATTGTTTTATCCCCACTGATAATCAGAACAAAATAGACTGACTTGATAATAAAATATTCTCCAATCTACTTATCTAATCCTACTCTTTCACCCCATTTCCCCACACCTGGTTCTTTCCAGGCTCTCTCTATAACAGAAAACTCCTTCTGCCCAACCCTTGAGATGCTTGCAGATTTTATGATCACAGCATTCTTCCCATTGCAATAGTCCTCCCCTTCTTCCAATTTAAATAGTCCTTTTCTCCCCTGGCAATAATTCTTTTGAATAAAGTCTCTCCTTAATAAGTCCAGATCTGTGTTTATTTGAAAAATTTTGTCTTACTTGACACAAAACTAGCAAAAAAAAAAAAAAAGTGAAAGTATCTAAAGACAAATCTGAAGCACAGAAAAGATGGCTAAAGAAATTTTATATCCTCTATATTACTTTTTGGTTAAACTCTCACATCATTAATTACATTATCTACAACCTCTCATGTAAGTTTAACCCTTTTGATCTGCAGAAAAATTATCCAGGTCTGTGTATTCCCCCCACCAAAAATACTCTCAACATACACCACAGAACAGTACTATATGTGAGATCTTGCACATATAGGGGATGAGAGTTCAATATATGTTCACTAAAATTGCTCAAGTCACCTCAGTTATTAGGCAGGTTCCTTATGACTATTACTCTATGAATTTGCTTACTGATTGTGAATATGAAGTAATGTAAATTAACTTTTTAAAAAAAGGAATCTTTAGAATCTCTTTTGAATAAATACCTGGCAGAATAAATGAACTCTAGTTTCCATCTTTCTGTTTAGAGGTAAATTCTGTCCTTGAGGACTCTCGACTTTGATGAACAACTATGAATGAGCAATAGTACAAAACGATTTCCTGCCAAAAAAAAAAAAAAAAAGATATAAAAATCACATGCTTATTTAGGAGACTTAAGCAATTATATTTACCTATCTGAAGTTATCTCTTCAACGTAACACTGACTTGGGGTATGATACACAATAAATTTTGCCAACACAGATATGTGGACAAACACTAGAAAAAGAAGTTAGTAGACTATAAATCACAGATCAGTTCCTTAACTTTACCTTTTGTGGTATAAGGAGAAATCCAATTTCAAATGGCATACAAACCAGAGAAATCCAGTTACATCTGTTTATTTAAATAAACCCTGAGAAGCAGAACTGCTAAGACAATAGTAATCACTCATGTTACCAAATGCTTCCTATGTGCCTATGTGCTAAATATTATGATAAAGACTTGAAGAGATCAAGTTTCCCAAGATCACACAGCCAGCAAATAGTGGAGACAAAATTTGAATTCAGACAATTTAACTCCAAGCATGTGGTTTTCAGTCCCATAGAAGATTGCCTCTCAAACAATACTACTACTGCAAACAAAAAATGATGTAGCCTCACTTTAAACCAAAGACTTTTGCATTAGGCAAATGTGATAACCAACACTTAGAAATTCCTCAAATTTTCACATTTTTAACTCATATCTGAGTTACATTTAATGAGCTATTTATCACAGTGCTAGCTATATTACATTACATTACATTGCTAGTTATAATCATCAGTCTTTTTTGTAAAGTTTAACTGCAGGTATTAATATTCTAATGAAGACAGAGTACTTAAAATCATTTGTATTTATTTCTGACATATGTCAATGTGATATGTCTAACATTCCTGGAATTCAAAATGTTAAAAAATAAAATAGAACCACATTAAAAAATACTCATCTCTGAAAATATCTGAAATCTATACAGGTCTCCCCAGTAACCCATTCTATGTAATCTCTTCTAGATCTTTTCTAACCAGTTCAATCTTCATACCTCTAAACTACTGTATACTTACTGTCTTCACTATTCTTGTCTTCACTATTTAACTGACATTAATCATTTGCCTTGTATTTGTATTTAATTTTCACATGTACAGCTCCTATACCAACTACAGCCTAAATTTATAAAGAACTGGGACTGATAACTTATAATTCTTAAAATTACTTCTCGCAGTATCAAACACAATGCTATATATATAATGAGGAAAAGCGCAGAGGAAAGAAGGGAAGGGATGGAGGGAGGGAAGGGAAAAGAGAGGGACAGAGGGATGAATGAACAAATTCCCTCCCTACTAAGCTACTCACCAAGAGTTCTTAAACCATCAAAGTGCTTAATTAAGCAGAGTTGGCACGTTTTGAATAAATCTTGAAAGGAACAACTGTTTTGTAATTTATTGACCAGATTATCAAAAAGTTGGCAGGTCTTAATTTGCTGGATGAGTAAGCCTCTCCAAACTTAAAAGAAAAAATTAACATAGAAAGTCTGTCTATTCTCTATAACTTTGACCATACAACTGTTTCTCAACTCTTTCAATCCTGTATCTGTGAACTTGCAGGAACAAATCAAGAGAAATGGAGGGAGACGTATCGCTCTTCTCCAGTCATCTATCCATGAATTCAAAGTGTATGTTTCCATGCTTAGTATGCACTACGTTCTCTCCCAGGCTCTAGGGATATAGCAATGAACAAAACAGGAAAAAAAAAAATCTGCCCTCATGGAGCTTACATTCTAGTCAGGGATCGAGATGATAAAATAGAAAAATAAAACATATCATATGTTAACTGCAGTAAGTACCAAAAAAAAAAAAAAAGTAAAGCAGGGAGGGGAATATGAAACGTAGTATGGGGAGGAGATGCAGGGAACAGAAAAAGTGTCCAAGGAAGACCTTACTGAGAGGGAGACTTTTGAGTACAGACCTGCAGGAACTGAAGAACGGGTCTGATTAATATCTTAGGGAAGAGCATTTCAGCCATAAAGAAAAGTAAGTACAAAAGCCCTAAGGCAAAAAGAATGTTCAAGTAATAGTGGGAAGGCCCCATGAGGCTGAAGCAGGAGAGATCAGAGAGGCTAAGGGAGGATGGCAGATCATGGAGGACCCCTAGATGACAGTAAGAACTTTGGCTTGTATTCTGAAGGACTGACAAGCATTGAAGAGTTCTGGGGAGAAGGATGATATAATCTGAAGTTCTTTCTGAAAGGCTCACTCTGGTTACTATGAGGAGGAAAATCAGGTAGGTCTGGATTCCTGGATGCCAAGTGAAGAAAGGTACTTCAAGAGTGAGTAATCACGCTGTGCATGGTGGCTTATGCAGGTAATCCCAGCACTATAGGGTGGTCTAGGCAGGAGGGCTGCTTAAGGCCAGGAGTTCAAGACCAGCCTGGACGTAAGTGAAATTCTCATCTCTACAGAATTTTTTTATTTAGCTGGGCATGGAGATCTTAGTCCCAGCTACTCCAAAGACTGAGGCAGAAGGATCCTTTGAGCCCAGGAGTTTGAAGCTGCAGTGGACTATGATTGCACCACTGCATTCCAACCCGGACGACAGAGAGAGACCTTGTCTCAAAAAAAAAAAAAAAGGTGGGTGAGATCAGAACTTAATGTTCACTAGGTTTCACAACACGGAGGACACTGACAGCCTTGAAAGGAGCCATCTAGGGGTAGGTGGTAAGAAGACAATGTTCTTGAAGTGGGTGCAAGAGAGAACGGGGTAAAGAAATTGAACCCAGCCAGTAGGGTAAGCTCTTTCAAGAAGCTATGCTGTTAAGAGAAATAAGGTAGTAGCTGAGGGGAAAATGGGGCTGTGAGGGTTTAAGACGAGAAAAACAAAGGCATCTTCACTGAAGCGTGACTCTGTATGACATTCCTTCACAAAGTACTTTCCTCTTTCGTGCCACATTTCCCTCACAAGCCGCCCCACTCACTTGCTTTTCCCTCGCCAGAGGGACTGCACATCATTAATACCAACTGCTTACACAACTCCATTCCGGCTACTGCCATTCATGAACGTTCAAGCATCCGTCACTCCGTTTTCATATCTGTGCATCAAACATTAACGAACCTCCTCCTCTACCAAGAACCCGCGCTGGGGAGGCTGCCCATAGGCCCTGCCCGTGTAAAGCCAGCAACTTCTATGGGAAGAAAGCGGGCGTGTAAGCTAGTGAGTGAACGACCCGCAAGATGGAAATGGTGCCCTAATAAAGGTCTCAGCCCCACGCTGAAAGAGCAGGGAAGTGACCCAACCCGCGGGCCGCCAGCCTCGTACAACGGCCACCATTTCTGAGGAACCAACTTTGGTTGGTTTGGTTTTATTGTGTTTATGTTTTTCCTATGTATTTACTGTATGCAGGTGGGCAGATCAGTCCCAGTCACCCTTCACTCTGCCCCTTTGTCCCACTCGGTCCCCTCACTCCTCACTGTTCCTTTCTGGAACCTTCCTTAACCCAGCCCCAACACTGTTCTACTTCATCCCTCGCACCCCACTGCATTCTCCACCCTGCACCTCCCCTCCCATCTCCTCCACGAGTCTTGCCTTCCTTCCCCACCTCTCTCCCCTGAGGGTCCCACTATCGGCCCGGAGCTGCCCTCCCTCCCGCCTGGCTCGAAGCCCTAGCGCTCTCCGCGGTTGGCGGGACCCAGCCGTCAGCCCCTGAGGCCCCTCGAGCGGCGCCGCTCTAGCTCTTCCTCCTTCCCAGGCTCCCGCGCAGCGCGGCCCCGCCCCCGCAGTCACCTGACCGAGCCCGACGCTCCGCCCCCCGAGCACCCCGAGCGGGACGGGCCCGGGACACTGGCCGCCGTGGAGACGTCGCTGCCACGGCCACCGCCACCGCTCAGGGGCTCCGGGGCCGTGGGGCGCGGCTGACCTCAACGCCGCCTCCGCGCCGACTGGAAGGCGCTGCGGCCGCGCCCTCCTACCCCACCTCATAAGGGCCTGTGACCTCACTAGGCGGGCGGAACAGCGCTGCCCTCCAGCGGCGGGGACTCCGGTCCGCACCCTTTCCTCCCGCAACCCCGGCCTCGATTCCGCCCTCCGTCCTTCCCACCCGCTCGTCACTCTTCCCTAATCGCTGTTCATTGTCCAGTGCGCTGTCCCACCATGGTCTGACCCCACTTCAATTTTATCTTCCGTCCATCCATTGAACACCCCCGACCCCCGAGCCCTTTCTTCTAAAACATTCCGTCCTTCTTGGCTTCTGCTGCTCAATAATGAACAGCAGCTCGAAGGCCATGTGTCCCATGGCTTTGCTGAAATTTGTCTCGGGCTGCCTTTCAGGGGATTGTCGTTTCCTTTTGAAAGAGATACTTTGGTTAGTTTGATTTTATTGTGTGTGTTTGTTTTTCCTATGTATTTACTGTCTGCAGTTGGGTAAAGTACTTATGCTCTCTGAGTGTCGATTTTCTCATTCTTCCATTGTTGTGGAAATTCAAAAATACGTAGTGCTCAATAAATGTTACAATATTTAATCCCTTCCGTGCTACTACTGTGTTCATTTAGATCTTAAACCTTGCTTTGTAGGCATTCTTTAATTTTTTTATTTTGAGATTTTATTATTATATATACAAATCACAATTGTAAATATTTAATGGGGCACAATGTGGTATTTTAATATATATACACACAATATGGAATGACTAAATCAACCTTAACATACCCATCACCTCATTTAATGTTTTTTGTGGTGAGATATTTGAAATTACTCTTAGCAATTTTGAGATATACTACACATTGTTATTAGCTGTAGTCACCACACTATGCAATAGATCTGAGAAACTTACTGCTTTCTGTCTGACTGAACCTTGTACCCTTTGAACAGCATCTCCCCATCCTCAGTCTCCTACCCGCCCCCTCCCTTCCCAGTCTCTAACCACTGTTTTACTGGCTACTTCTATGAGTTTGACTTTTTAAGATTCCGCATATAAGTGAGATCATGTGGTATTTGTCTTTCTGTGCTTGGCTTATTTCACTTAGTATGTCCTCCAGGTTCATTCATGTTGTCACAAATGACAGAATTTCTTTTTTAAGGCTGAATAGTATCCATTGTATATATATACCACATTTTCTTTATCTGTTCATCCATTGATGCATACAGGTTGATTCCATATCTCAGCAATTGTGCATAATACTGAAATAAACATGGAAGTGCAAATATGTCTTTGATATACTGATTTCAGTTACTTGATATATGCCTAGAAATAGGATCACTGGATCATATAGTAGTTCTATTTTTAATTTTTTGGGAAATCTCTACATAGTTTTCCATAATGGCTGCAATAACATAACACCAACAGTGTGCAAGTTTTCTCCACTTCCTCACCAACACTTATTATTTTTCAGCATTTTCATAATAGCTACTTTTTTTTTTGAGATGAAGTCTTGCTCTGTTGCCCAGGATGGAGTGCAGAAGTGCAATCTCAGATCACTGGAACTTCTGTTCCTGGGTTCAAGCGATCCTCCTGCCTCAGCCTCCCAAGTAGCTGGGATTACAAGTATGTGCCACCACACTTGGCTAATTTCTGTATTTTTAGTAGACACGGGGTTTCACCATGTTGGCCAGGCTGATCTGGAACTCTTGACTCTCAAGTGATCCGCCCACCTCAGCACCCCAAAGTGCTGGGATTACAGGTGTGAGCCACCACATCCAGCTTGATAATAGCCATTCTAACAGGTGTGAGGTGATATTGTAATTTTATTTTGCATTTCCCTAATAATAGTGATTTTTTTTTTTCACAAACCTGTTGGCCATTTTTATGTCTTCTTTTAAGAATGCCTGTGTCAGGCTGGGCATGGTGGCTTGTGCCTATAATCTCAGCACTTTGGGAGGCCAAGGTGGGAGGATTGCTTAAGCCCAAGAGTTTGAGACCAGCCTGGGCAACATAGTAAGGCGTCATCTCTACAAAAAAAAATTTTTTTAATGTCTGTTCAGATTATTTGCTTTCTTGCTACTGAGTTTCTTGTATATCTTGGATATTAACCCCTCATCAGATGTATGATTTGTAAATATTTTCTCCCATTCAGTGGGTTGTCTTTTCACTCTGTTAACTGTTCCCTTTGATGTGCAGAAGCTTTTAGTTTCATGTAATCCCATGTGTTTATTTTTTGTTTTGTTCCCTGTGTTTTTGAGGTCATGTCCAAAAAAATGCCCAGACCAATGTAGTGGAGCTTTCCCCTTATATCTTTTTCTAGTGGCTTTCTTCTATGTTTTCTTCTAGTAGCTTTCCCCCTATGTTTTATTCTAGTAGTTCAAGTCTTACATGTAAGTCTTCAATCCATTTTTACTTTTGTGTATGTTGTGAGATAAAGGTCCAAATTTCATTCTTCTGCACATAGATATACCGTTTCCCAAAAGTTTTTATCAAAGAGACTCCTTTCCCGATTGTGTGTTCTTAGCTCCTTATCAAAATTCAAGTCTGTAAATTCTGGACTCATGTTCTATTATAGGCCAATGTGTCTGTTTTTATGGAATACCATGCTGTTTTGCTTATTGCAACTTTGTCATTTATTTTAAAGTCAGGTAGCATGATGCCTTCAGCTTTCTTCTTTTTGCTCAAGATTGCATTGGTTATTTGGGATCTTTTATGGTTCCATATGAACTTTAGGATTTTTTATTTCCATGAAAAATAACTCTGGAATGTTGATAGAAATTGCAATGAATCTATAGATCACTTTGAGTAGCATGGGATTTTTTTTTTTTTGGAGACAGCATCTCATTCTGTTGCCCAGGCTGGAGTGCAGTGGTGCAATCTTAGCTCACCACAATCTCCGCCTCCCAGGTTCAAGCGATTCTCCTTCCTCAGCCTCCCAAGTAGCTGGGACTACAGGCATGTAACACCATGCCTGGCTAATTTTTGTATTTTTAGTAGAGACAGGGTTTCACTATGTTGGCTAGGCTTGCCTTGAACTCCTGACCTCATGATCTGCCCACCTCGGCCTCCCAAAGTGCTGGGATTACAGGCATTAGCCACCGCACCCAGCCTCATGGGCATTTTAATTATATTAATTATTCCAATCCAAGAACATGGGCCATCTTTTCATTTATTTGTGTTTTCTCCAATTTCTTTCATCAGTGTTTTGTAGTTTTCAGTATAAAGATGTTTCACTTTGTTGGTTAAATTTACACCATTTTTGTTTCAGTTTTGGTTTTTGCTAATGCAAGTAGAATTATTTTCTTAATGTCTTCTTTGGATAGTTTGTTTTTAGCATCTAGAAATGCTGCTGATTTCTGTGTGTTGACTGTGTACAGCAACTTTACTGAATTCATTCTAACAGTTTTTTGGTGGAGTCGTTAGGGTTTTCTATATGTAAAATCATATTGTCAACAAACAGAAAATTCCAACGCTTACTTTACTGTTAAGATGCCTTTTATTTCCCTCTCTTGCATAATTGTTCTCACTAGAACTTCCAGTGCTATGTTGAAAAAAACAATGGTAAGAGTGGGCATCCTTTTCTTGTTCCTGATGTTAAAGGAAATGCCTTCAACTTTTCACTGTTGAGAATGTTAGCTATAGGCTTGTCATATATTACCTTTATTGTGTTGAGGTACATTCCTTCTATACCTAATTTGTTGAGAATTTTCATCATGAAAGGATGTTTAATTTTGTCAGATGCTTTTTATGCATCTATTGAAATGATCATATGGTGTTTGTCCTTCATTCTGTTTATGTGGTGTATCACATTTGTAGATTCCCATATGTTGAACCATCCTTGCATCCCAGGGATAAATCCCACTTGATCATGCTGAATTATTCTTTTAATGTATTTTTGAAGTCAGTATGCTAGTATTTTGTTGAGGATTTTTGCATCTATATTCATTAGGGATATGACCTATAATTCTTCAGTGCTTTTTAAATGTATGTATATAGTTTATCCCCCCCAAAGATTATGAAATATCTGAGTGCTGAGACCATGTCTTTTATTTTTGAAAATATCCCCAATCCACCCTCCCTCCCCCACGTTTCCACTCCCCACATCTGTTGTGTTTACAGTTGGTACCTCGGAGTACCGTTCAGTCAGGCAAAAGGCCCTCTAAAGATTTTAAGAGAGGCTGGCCATGGTGGCTCACACCTGTAATCCCAGCACTTTGGGAGGCTGAGTGGGGTAGATCACCTGCCTGGCCAACATGGTGGAACCTCATCTCCCCTAAAAATACAAAAAAATTAGCTGGGTGTGGTGGCAAGTACCTGTAATCCCAGCTACTCAGGAGGCTGAGGCAGGAAAATCACTTGAATCCTGGAGGCAGAGGTTATGGTGAGCTGAGATTGCACCATTGCACTCCAGCCTGGGTGGCAGGGTGAGACTCCGTCTCAAAAAAAAACAACACCAAAAAGATTTTAAGACTGTGGTTCACAGGTCCTCTCATTCAAACAATAGGGCATCTAAGAAACTTAAGGTCTTTGTCCTTCAGCAGAAGCCCAAGGTAGAAAGAGACAAAAGAGATTTGCTGACATGACTTTTGTCTCCTAGACTAAAACCCAATAAAATTCACAATGGATTCAAAAATTGTTTTAAGAGAATTGTATTGTCAGAAACACTGTCAGCTTGAGCTAAAAGAAAGTACAAAAAGGAAAGGGGCCTTTGGACCTCCACATTTCTACAAACAGGAAGCAAACTAAGAAAACTATTTAGATGCAAACACATCTACCTTTCACAAAAAAGGGATGACTTAGAGGATAAAACCAAGAGCCCAGAGGATGGAACCAAAAGCCATAGGGTTTTGAATGTGGATCTGCAAACCTGTACTCAAGTGAATTTCAGAATTGCTATGAACCAGTGACTTCTGTGTACCTTGTTTTCCACCTGTTGGAACAGGAGTGTCCATAGCAGTTATCTCTCTGCCCCTGCCATTTTACATTGGTTGTTGTAGGGAAAGGAACAT